GTTCAGCTCCTTTTCCCCAAGCTCGTTTCTCATACCTGCCTTTTCTTCCGCTACTGCCACTGCTCCTGTTATCTCTCATGTGAAGGGTTGCACTGATGTCGTCTTTCACTCTTTACGCAAACATTTGTTGGGCTCTGATAGGCCAGGCACCATTGTAGGCACTGGGGACACTCAGGCAAATAAGACATGGCAACTGTCTCAGGAAACTGATAGATCAGTCCTCACCGTCTCCCTCCCCCAGGCTTACTGTGTTTAAATCTGTCACCCTCATTGACACCAGAGTGATGTATCTTATGCTCAGATCTTTCCTGCTTAAAAGCCTTCATTAGTTTCCTGTCACAAACAGGATAAAGACCAAACTCCCTAGTTGGCCTATAAACTTCTATGATCTGCATCATTGTTCTCCAGTCTCATCCATCAGTCCCTACTCATTTTTTATGCTCCCATGATAACAAACTTCGTGTGTTCTAACTCCACACCTGGGGCCATTTCATTTGTCATTTGTCTTTGATCATGCTAATACCTGTCTGGAATCCCTTTCTTCCTCAAGTTTTAATTAATTCCTACTGCTTTTTCCAAATATAGCTTACTCTTGAGGGGTCTTGGAATCAGTGACATTTGAGCTAATTCTATCCTTCTATGTGTATTCCCATCATAGTAACCACTGAATGAAAACTGTCGGGGCCGGCAGGTAGCATGGTTGTTAAGGCGCTGGGCCGACCATGATTTGTGTCCTGGGCCTGGCAACATGCTTTCTCATTTCCCCCTCTCTCGTTCTTTCTGTCTCTCTGGTCAAATTAAATAAATAAATATAAAATTAAATTAAATTCTTTTTTTTTTCTTTCTTGACGGAAAGTTTTTTTGATTGTTTGTTTGTTTTTGCTATAGGGCGCGTGTGCTTGCCAGACAGACAGAGAGAGACATAGAGACAGAAAGCGAGAAATCACCCCCCAGGGGGGAGGACCATGCCACAATCCCTTCTCCATTCTCCTCGCAGCATCTTGGGCACATACACACAAATGCCTGGTGTGAGTTTTAACCTGCCAGGTCCGGGACTCGAACCATGGTCAACTACATGGGAGTCCAGCAACATAGCCATTACACCGACTGCTGGTCCCCAAAAATCTATTTTTTTAAAAGTTATTTATTTATTTTAATTTGACTAGAGAGAGACAGTGCAAGAGAAAGGGAAAATGAGAAACAAGCCTCCAGATCTGGGACCTGAACCATGTTTGGCGATGTGGGAGTCCAGCACCTTTAACCACCACAGCACCTGCTAGTCCCCAAAGTCTCTCTCTCTTTTTTTTTTTTTTAATTTTTATTTTTTTTTTTATTTATT